TATTCTGATTCCAAACGCATTCTACCGTTGTATCATGAAACTGTGTCATGTAACTGTATCTATGTTTTTTAACCTTAGATGTTCATAATTCTGTCAATCCAGTGTCCTCAGGAGGCTGATTGCTGTAACGGATCGTGTGTGTGACCGTGATGATAACATGGTCAGTCCACTGTACGTAGCCATCCACAACCATCAGGACAAGTGTGTGGAGCTGCTCTTAAGGGAAGGTTATAGTCCAAATGCCCAAGACTGCACACGAAGCCTGGGCCTCTCTTCCCCACTCTCCTTCGCCTTGTGCCATTCATCCACCAAACCATACAGGTTTGTAAAGCAGCAGATTGAACCCATTCAATCACTCTAAAAACAAAGAAAATAAGAATAAAAAAGATGTTAAACCCCTTGATCATGATTCATTCTCCTTCAGTGAATCTGTGAGGCTGCTGGTAGCTGCTGGAGTCCGTTTGGTTGAGGAGACCTGGATTCATGCCTTGGCCACAGATAAAACAGACCTGCTGGAGCTGATTCTGGAGCACAGATTGATCCCTCGACCCGACACTTTGACCCAGTGCTGTTCTGTATCGCATCATCCTGGGAAAACTGTGTTAACGCTGCAGGAACTGAAGGAGCTGCTCTGTGTGGCACTCAGCCAAGTGCGTTTTGCTGCCTGCTGGCTTCCTCTGCTTCTGAAGGCAGGATTGGAGCCTTCTCTACTACTTCAACCACACATGTAAGGTTCTCCCCTCACTTTTATGGTCAGTTATCAGAGGGAAGTTCTTGACCAGTGTTTCTTTCTAGGTTGGAACATGCAGACACTGAGGCGTTGAACTACTTCCTGCAGTTTATCAACTGGTCAACTTTGTCTGCTCCTTTAAAACAAATCCTGATTCAAAGAAAAGCTGGAAAGACCTGGGAACCATGTGCAGATTTTGGTACAATCACAAAATATATACTTCCAATTTGCTTCTACTATTCTGTAGTAAACTTTGAATGGTAACTATTTCTATCGTCTTTCGTTCCTCCAGATTCCATTCCCCATCTTTCTCATATCTGCCGGCTGAAGGTCAGGGCAGTGCTAGGACCAGATCGACTGATGAGGACCAGTGCAGTCGAGCAACTCCCCGTTCCCTCCCTTCTTCACAGCTTCCTTCAATTTAGGGACGTCCAAGAGGCTTCCTTCTCACATCTGCCTCCATCACCACTTTTAGATCGAATATGGGTTTTCCACGGTGCACACCAACATAGACATGTTCTATAACCCCCAGTTTTTACCTGAATGTTGCTTCAAGGTTGTCAAAATCATCTGATTTTTGGCACCGTTTCATACACAGTCACATACAAAGTGTTTTAGGTAAAATTATTTTGAGGTAACTATGTTTTCTTTTGAACCGATGCAGTGGTTATAAATGTTAAAGACTGAAATAAATACTTTGTCCAAAGTCTCTTCCTGAAAAATGTCTGATTATCTCCAAAAGAGAATAGATTCTGCTCCAGTGGAAAGCAGCATCAAAAGGAGTAGAAACATCACATCATGGGACTAGCCAAAAAATCACTCTTAGAACCAACCCAACTTCATTTAAAGTCTAATTTTACATAGTTTAATGTCATAATAACAATGAAGGTATGCCTCCACAGCTTGAAAAGGAGAAGAGTATCAAGAGATCCTCATGTCACAATTTGTTTTTGACCTGCACATAAATGAAGCTTTTTTGTAAAGTAATCAGACCCTGGTTCCAGATACAACAGAGTGGGAATATGAATGATGATCAATAATCACAGAATATGCAGTAGTAAGTTTTCTCAAATGTATTTATGGTAAACATTCTTTCAGATTGAGATTTTGAATAAGTTGTATGATCAATGTTAAACATGAAAATATGATCAGATAATCTCAATACATCACATAGAATATAATTAATAATTGAATAAATTTCTCAAAACAAAGTAAAAATAAAATGTTTTCATTAACCACAATACTGTAATGAGTTATTTCAACCAGAGGGGCGCTCCAACGCTATGTAGCAGAGGCCGATTTCCGTAGAACACCGTAGAAGCAGAGAAGGAGGCTGCTGATTGGTCGCCGCCACCTCCTCCGTGTTTGACAGCAGGAAGTAGCGACGTTAGACACAGATCGGCTGCAGCTTCTCTGGACTTCGACAACACGAGAAGATGAGGCTGCTGAGTCGCACGTAGAGGAAGGAGATGTCTTAATGTTTTACACACGTGAGTGCGTGAAGTCTTTTCTCTGTGCATATCTTTTGGCGGATGTTGCTGTAGCTTGCTAGCATGATTCCTTATGCGCACACAGTGGACAGCGCGTTAGCTGCAGCACAAACTCAGTTCTAATTTCCTGGAGGTTCGTTTTGCTTCTTTTTTTTAATTATTTTTTAGATGAAAACGCTTTTTCACAAACAGGTTGTATGTTTGTCAGCCGTGCCAGCTCTTACCACGGAGCAGGTTAGCGTTGGCTAACGTCAGCTATGTATTCACGATATCCAGCCAAAACCTGACAGCTATGCTAGGTGAGCTAAGCTTTCACTGAAAACAAATGAACATGGTTCCACCGTTGTGAGCTCAGCGTCACATCACTGGAAGCTGCTCTGAAGCCATGGATGCTCCACTGATCCTAATGGTCGCAGCCTGTTCCTTCCCAAGTCGTTCAGTCACTTCGTTAATGGCAGGTGTCGACATCCAGATTATTGTGCATTAATTAATGCAAAGACTGAACTCACGCATCCAACTGAGGAAGTAGGTTTTCACATTGGGTGTTTACATTTAGCTATCCAGGGTTAAGTTACTTAAGAAACCAAATCCTAGCAATGATAGAAGTATGTGAACTTATATAATCACAATGTTTTTGGACATACAGTATAGGACTGCAACTATAACTCTGTATGACAAGAATAGCAGTCAGGAGAGAGCACACCGAGGCCCAACAGTCCATTTAAATTCAATCAATCATTTGTCTTCAGATGTGCATACTAAAGATATAAGTCGTGTTACACAATGTTAAAGAAAGTGGAATAAAGTGAAGAGTTCTTCGCTGACCCAAACCACGCTCTTCCTTTTTGTGTAATGTGGCTAACTGACAAAGCAAATGCAGAATGTGCTTATGTGAATATTGTATGTGTAATATCACGGAGTTCATTTAAAGTTCTCCCGGCATGTCTTTGACTTGCAGCTGAGGCCAGCATTAGGGAGAATTTTCGTCCGCACGCCGTTCAGATGAGGCATGCTGGAAGTATGCAGCCCATGTATAGAAGAGATCCTGGAGTCTGGCACCAAACAAGAAGCCTTCTCTACAAGAATCTGCTCATCAAATGGAGGACCAAACAACAGAGTCTTCAGGTGCTTAGCTTTCAGCAGACTGATGTGAATCCGCTCAGGTTGCCAGCTTGCTCTGCGCAGTGTATGACTTACTGCTGTGTTTAACTGTTGTCTTTATGTCTCACAATTTTTCGGTAAGTTTGTAATGTGTTTGAAATCGGAGGAAGTAACATACATGATGTTGAGTCAGCATTTTGTTGTGTGTGGATAACAGTTTGTGCAACTGTAAAATAAGAACTAATTATAGAGAATTTAAAAGATTAAATGAACAGACTAGAATATATTCACTACATACAATGTGTGTATTTTTATTATTATTCTTACAGTTTAAACTTTTAAAACGGAAAACTATGTAAATGTTGAAGATTTGTGGTTGTGTGATACGCCCTAATTCTGCATCTCACACCCACACTGTCAATATTAATCTAGATCTCTGAGAAAGCTCTCTGTGATTATTCCAGTGAAACCGCACCCAGTTAAAAAAATAAGTGTGGTTGTGCTGTCATGACTGTTTATAAAAAACTACATGCCTATAATGAAGTACTCCTTATTTTATACAAAGCATCACATTTGATTTTTGTATGAAGTAAACAACATTGATGTTGCCTCTTTCCCTTTTTAAATTCTCTCCTGACCATGCATTATTAATTTGGTTTCAAGTTGCACTCATGCATTTGTAATGTCTAACAGTTCAATTGAGAAGTAACACAGAGAGAGCTTCTTAAAAACGTGTTGCAAAGTCCAGGGATTTCTTGAACTACGGTGTGAAGAATATGTCTGTTACCGAATCCCTATCCAACATCATGTCCTTAAAACTCAACTTTGTCGGTTTCACCTGATTTGCTTTGGAGGAAAAAGTGTTTGCTAAATTAGAGGTTAGTTTTGTGTACACACATAATCCCAGATTAACCAGTTCACTGGAGGCTTGGATCATCTTTTACAGTACACAATCTAGATCTTAAACCAATGAGTCCTGTTTTATTGCTTCAGTGTTGCTCAAGATCAAGTTGTAGCTTGTTGTTTAGTTCAAGTCAAGTTCAAGTCAACTTTATTATCAATAATGCCATATGTGCAGGACATACAGAGAATTGAAATAGCGTTTCCCTCTTATTCCCGGTGCAGACAGCATTAAACATGAAATACAAAAAATAATAAGTAATTAAAAGATATAAACAGGCAGTTTATGGGTTGAAGGAGAGAATAAATGTCATTTGTTACGAGGTCTGATATATTAGTTACAGCCCCTGAATTAAGCCTAAATTTACTTCTAGCAAGCAAATTTTTTATAAATTATGACTAATCATGTGATTTTCTCATCCTCTGGTCCATTTTTCTGTACAGGAATTGATTTTACCTTTACTACTCTTGGGGCTCCTGATACTCATCAATATCCTCAATCCTCACGTTTACTATGGAGGCATCAGCACTATGGAGCTGGAGCGGGAAGACCACTTCGTTAAGGGCCTGGGCTACACACCCATCACCAACATCACCACCCACATCATGGAGGAAGTGGCCCATCAAATGCGTAAGTGTCTGAAACATATCTTGGTTTTAAAGTTCAAATCTACATTACAAGACAACCCTGTGGTCAAATAGCTCAAATCTATATCTATCAGACTAGAGGACAGAAGAGGTCTGTGATGCAGAAGCAAAGCTTTGTTAATGACACTCCTCTTTGTGTTTTCAGTCTTGCAGAATAACCTGGAGATGTTTGCTAGCGAGGAGGACCTGGAGAACGCAAGTCTGTACGAGCCTTCAAGCTACGTTGGTGTCGTGTTCATAGACAGCTCGGCCACATCTTACAGACTGCGCTTCCCGTACAACCAGCTGCCGCTGCCCAGCGATTATACAGAATCTATTGGTAAAATTGTGACTCTCTTTTATCTGACTGTAAAGACTAAAAGTCTTTGAATGTTCTGAAGTCGCGAATCCAAAGGATAAACTTGAACCAAACGGTTTCTAATCAGTGGAAAATCCTTTGATCGTTCCTGAGAGATGGGACACAGAAGAATATTGAAATGCTATATTACACAACCTTATTTAAAAAAAAAAAAAAAAAAGGAATATAAAGAGAGATACAACTGCAAGCAAGATAATCTACAAGATCTGAAAATGTTTGCATCTATATCTGACCTATGTTGCCATTGTTTGTGTGCTGGTCCTCTTCTAGCTAACTGTTTCGCCAGCTCAGTGAACTGCAGAGCAGCTACTTACTGGTACTCTGGCTTCATCCGCCTCCAGTCTCTGATCGATGCAGCCATCATCCAGGTGAGATCAGCACAATGTTCTCTAGAATGAACCCACTGGACCTTAAAGAGGGAAATGTTCTGTGTGCACGAAGCAATGATACCAGACATTTGCTGGTTCCTTCTTTTTTCTTATTGACATTTTCTGGATTAAATGATAAATAATTTAAAGGAAAATATTCTTCAGTCCATTGATAATGATAATTAGTTGCTGACCTGCTACAGTTTCAGCAGAGGATCCTCTGTTCTTTGTGTACAGATGCAGACAAAGCGGGCGGTGCGGAGTGAGATGGACCTGAAGGTGGTCATGATGGGTCAACCAGGTTCTGTGGAGGTGCAGAAATTCCCACACGCCCTCATCTCTATATATCTGGTCCTGGCCTTCACACCCTTCGTCACCTTCCTCATCGTCAACGTGGCAGCTGAGAAGGAACACCGGCTCAAAGACACCATGACCATGATGGGACTCTATGACACAGCCTTCTGGTAAAAAAAGAGAGAGATTCAGTGTCTCTGTTTCCGTGCATATGCGTCAGAAATGAATCTGTTTGAACCTGCGTGTTGTTGCTGTTCAACAGGCTGTCATGGGGCCTCCTGTACGCTGCTCTGGTGACCACAATGTCCTTCCTGATGTCCATCATCGCCACGTACACGGCGCTCTTCCCTAATAGTGACTTCTTTGTCATTTTCTTCCTCATCTTCCTCTATGGAATATCGTCTGTAAGTACAGCTGATAATTGAATATTTGAAAATGTTGATGCTGATTCTATTCCGTCGTCCTTTCTCTCTCTGCTCTCTTTCATTCATCTCATCCTCTCTTTTATCCAACAGATCTTTTTCTCCTTCATGCTGACTCCGTT